CCCGCCCGCCCGCTCCGGGGGCCCAGCTCTGCTGTCTGCAGCCAAAGTTGGGCGCCCTTTGCCCTTGCGCTCCCCTGACTTGTGCAAAACAGAACCTCCAGCCCCGGTCCGGCGGGGGCTGCTCTGGCAAAGCCAGAGAAGCCTTGGGGAGCGTGGTTCCTTCTCCCAACTTTACCCACATAATACAGTAACCGCTAACGCTTCTTCCGCACCTGCCCGGTGCCAAGCACGGTGCTAAATCAGCCTACGTTACCTACTTTAATCCTCCCGAGGGAGGGAGGGAGGGAGGGGACAGTGACACAGGTCCGGAGAAGTCTGGCAACTTGCCTAAGACCGTTCCATCCCCAGAAAGGATTTGAACTGGGGCGGGAACCCCCTTTCCAGCCACTTGCCAGCTTTACGTGGCCAGGGCTTCCCTTGGCTAAAGTAATCCCAGTGGCGAGGAGGTGGTGCCGGGGAGGAGATGGCTCCGTTCAGCCTTGAGGAGCAGGAGATCCCTGGAGTTTTGCTCATCTCTCCCAGTTCATCGGAGCCAACGCCTGGCTCCGGTATAAACCCAAACCTCTCCACCCCTCCGGGACCTACTGTGTGCTCAGGGCCTGGCACACAGTAGGTCCTCAGCAAATACCCATTGGGAGAACGAACTCCCAGCCTGCACTGTCTTGAGACATAGCTCCCGTTGGCTCATCAAGCCTGATAACTCAGACTTTGTCTGTGCATCGCTTGGCGCCTCACCCGGTGTGTAATGGGTAATACACACGGGAAAGTGGGCCAACAGGTTCCCCTGCTTGTGCCAGAGCCCACAGGCGGTTCTGTGAGCTGCTTCCCCTGGAGCGCCGGAGCATGGAGGAGTCGCTGCAGGCGCGAGTGTCCCTGGAGCAGATCTTCAGCCTTCCAGAGCTCAAGGTGCCAGCCCCTACCTCCCCCCGCCCCCCTGTCAGGTGGTCACTGGCCCATTCTGCTCTTTCCTCTGTTTACGTGGATGTTAGGGGGCGAGGGCTTTACCTAAATCACCCAGTGGAATGATCTGGAATGGCGTTTTTCAAATCGGGATTCTAGGAACACATTCTTGGCGTGTCAAAAGAAGCTCGGTCCTTTTTTTTTTTTTAAATATATTTTATTGATTTTTTACAGAGAGGAAGGGAGAGGGATAGAGAGTCAGAAACATTGATGAGAGAGAAACATCGATCAGCTGCCTCCTGCACATTCCCTACTGGGGATGTGCCCGCAACCGAGGTACATGCCCTTGGCTGGAATCGAACCTGGGACCCTTCAGTCCGCAGGCTGATGCTCTATCCACTGAGCCAAACCGGTCAGGGCGAAGCTTGGTCCTTTAAGAGGAGTTGAGTTGCCCTCAAGTTTGAGATCCCCTCTTCCCGAGGCTGATTGCCTCTCCTGAGGGCTGTGAAAATGCAAGGGGCTTGGCCTAGTGCCTGTAACACAGGCGTTTATTTTAATTCATTAATTTGTATATATTTTTATTGATTTCAGAGAGGGAGGGAGAGGAAGAGAGATAGAAACATCAATGATGAGAATCATTGATCGGCTGCCTCCTGCACGCCCCCTACTGGTGATTGAGCCCGCAAACCCGGGCATGTGCCCTTGACAGAAATTGAACCCGGGACCCTTCAGTCCACAGGCTGACGCTCTATCCACTGAGCCAAACCAGCCCGGGCTATTTATTTTTATCTTTTTGTTAATCCCCACCCAAGGACATTTTTCCATTGAATTTTAGGGAGAGGGGGAGGGAGAGAGAGAAACATCGATCTGAGAGAAACACATCAATTGGTTGCCTCCTGCACAAGCCCTGACGGGCCAGGGAGAAGCCTGCAACCAAGGTTCGTGCCCTTGACCGGAATCGAACCCGGGACCCTTTGGTCCCCAGGCCGACGCTCTGTTCACTGACCCTAACGGGCTAGGGCACAGCACGTGTTTAATTAAATGTTCTCTTTGCTTAGGATGTCCTCCTCTTCCTTCTCTGCCCCCAGGCCTACCTGTGGGTCAACCTCTGATTCCCAGTAGCCATCCCTGCCCCCTCCCCAGCGATGTCACTGGTCCTCCTGCCTTCGGAAAAGCACTGGTCATTCTCCGCCCGAGCCTGCGCTCATGGTGCGGGTTCTGGGAACTGTCCCCTCCGGTTCATGGAGGCTCTCTTCCTGGGCCAGTGATGGCGAACCTATGAACTCATTTTTTTGGTTGATGTTTCTTTGTTAAATGGCATTTAAATATATAAAATAAATATCAAAAATATAAGTCTTTGTTTTACTATGGTTGCAAAGATCAACAAATTTCTCTATGTGACACGGCACGAGAGTTAAGTTAGGGTTTTTCAAAATGCTGACACGCCGAGCTCAGAAGGTTCGCCATCACTGTCCTAGGCCAACCCCTTCAGGGAGCGCATCTGCAGGGTCTTCTCGACCTCCCCCGCCCGAGACAGCTTGAGCTTTGAGGATTTCCTGGACCTCCTCAGCGTGTTCAGTGACACAGCAACGCCAGACATCAAGTCCCACTACGCCTTCCGCATCTTCGGTGAGGACCCGGGGGAGCCTAGGGGAGCACAGGGCCTCCCCCGGGGGTCCTTTGGGTGGGGCTGCCGGGGCGCTGGGGTCAGCCCTGGGCTTCCCATGTCTGCTCTGTAGATTTCGATGATGATGGAACCTTGAACAGAGAAGACCTAAGCCAGCTCGTGAACTGCCTCACGGGAGAGGGCGAGGACACACGGCTCAGTGCTTCAGAGATGAAACAGCTCATTGACAATGTGAGCAGCTGGGCCCAGCAGGGCGGCCCTAGCCGAACTGGGCCGGGCCGGGCCGGGGAGCCAGGGAGGGCTTGGGCCTGACACTCTCCCTTTGCCCAGATCCTGGAAGAGTCTGACATCGACAGGGATGGGACCATCAACCTCTCCGAGTTCCAGCACGTTATTTCCCGTTCACCGGACTTTGCCAAGTATGACAGTGGTCCCGCCTGTGGCATCTGGGTCTAGGATGTTATTATGGGGGGGGGGGGGGCCAGGGGGAAGCCCCGCCTCCTCTGAATACCGCAGGGTAGCTCTTCTCCCAAAGGGGACTGACAGACGCGAGACACAGCCCATTCCAAAGGGTCTTGGGGGAGAGGTGGGTACATTTGGGTTTAGTCCTCACCCTCCTCTTCCAGCAGCAAATCAAACCCACTGTTCTCTTGTTCAGCTCCTTCAAGATCGTCCTGTGACGGGAGCCACACAGCCGGTTTCCCAGCCGCCGTACAATAACCTTGACACTGCTGAGCCGTGGCCAAGGTTACGCCTGTGTTGCCAGGGCCGGCCGAGCTGGCCCGGTCGAGCTGGCACTGTGCAGTCTTGTCCCAGGCAGGGAAGGGCGCTCCCAGTCAGTGCCTCACCCCTTCTCACTGCCGTTGTCACCGCTCTGTGTTTCTGCTAATCAGTAATAAAGGTTAAGACGTTTTGATTCTGCGTGTGACACTGGAAATGCTGGTCATGAGGAAGGACTGGACTTCTAGGAGACTCCGGTTGTCCCGGGACTGACGAACCACCGGAGAAGGGACCAGCAGGAAGGCAGAGTGGGGCACTGAATATGAGGGGGATCTGTGGGGGAGGGAACCCCTTGAATCCTGATTGTGGTGGTGATGACATGAATTTCTACATTAACATTATAGAGCTGTTTACCAAAAGGAATAAGAACTTACTGTAGCCCGGCCGGCGTGGCTCAGTGGTTAAGCGTCGACCTATGAACCAGGAGGTCACGGTTTGATTCCTGGTCAAGGGCACATATCTGGGTTATGGACTTGATCCCCAGTATGGGGCGTGCAGGAGGCAGCCAATCCATTATTCTCTCTCATCACTGATGTTTCTCTCTCCCTTCCTCTCTGAAATCAATTAAAAAA